CTGCTAATGGTACTCCACGCATGAAGCATCCCAAGAAAACTTAAAGTAACGCATATGCGATGCAAGTTGGCACCTATACTGCCTTAAGGACTGAGTGACTGACATCACAGCGGACCAATCCAATAGTTATCATAATAAGTCAACAATAAACTTGCAACTGCAGCATTAGAACAGGATTTTCTTAACCAGGTTTTCCTCATGCACTTCTAGTTGATTCAACTTTCCCTATTATAGTACCAGTGATATCACATTAAGATAGTACTGTTAATCCTCTGCACACAGCAATTGAGAAAGATCATAAAGAAAAGGCATCTCAACCTTAATTCACATTAATCATACAATCTCCATCTCCTACGACTCTACGAGTTCAGCCACCCAACCAGCAAACCACTCTCAAGCAAAAAAAATCATAGCGCCTCCTTACACAACCTCGGAGAACCCATGATATCCACCAATGAGTCAATAGCCATAGCAAACCTATCCCAATTGGCAATCCTCCAGGGTGCTGCAGCAGTAGACATCATTCAACTACTCCTTCAGCTTGCAATTGCAAAGGGTGATAAATTTCACTCTCACAGCTCCTTGACCGGTTCGCCAATGATCTCCCTCCATGGAATGCGGCATTGACACTCTCTCTAATCATTGCTCAATAATCACCAGTTTGTAGATAGAGGGAGCATTAATTGATCCTAGGTTTTTGGTTTCCCGCAAATTGCAAATTTCCCCAAAATCCTACTTTTTAACTAAGAAAGTGCTAATCTACCTACTACTAGATCAGAAACTCTTCTGCTCTAAAATAACAAACACAATAAACAACATTATTACAATTTCTACTGCAATGATCTCTGCTCAATCCACAACACATTTCCACATAATATTCCAAATTTCCAACTCATCAAATTATAAAATTAATTCTTGATCACTTAAAACCCCATTTAAAATCAAATCTCAATACCCTTTCCCAAATTAAGATAATCATAAAATTTACAGCATTAATTAAATGCACAATAAATTAAACACAGAAAAAATAATCACAAATATAGGAACAAAAATTAGAAAAAAGGAAAAAAGTTACCTTTCTGTGAAGAACATTCCAGCACAAAAGCTACCAATACATAGCAAGATTACAAAATTCCGAGGTAAAAAATTCCTTGAAGATGATTCATTTCCACCAAATCCAGCTCTATTTTTCACCGACATTTTTGTTCTGGGTTTTCTCTCAATAAGCTCATTTACAAAGAACAAAGAAAAAAGATTGCAACTTTATTTTAGTGAAACTATGACACTGCAAGTAAGTAATTTGGTACTTATTTCTCAAGTCAAAAACCAAATTGATGATCTGGTTTGGTGATGTTTTTTAAAATTTCTCTTTCCAATTCACACGAGATAATATTACATTATAAGAAAACGAGTTATATTTGAGTATTTAATTAACACTTGTATTTTCTACTTGTGGATTTTCTTGTTTTTTCCAACAAGACAATTATTGGGAGATTAAGATCCAAAATCAAGAATTAATGGATACCCTACCAACAACACCAACCACATGACGTCGTAACAGTATTATATCCTTCAAATACCAAAATGGGTTGGTCACTTGGGTTGGGTTGGTGTATTGAACTAATTTCCTGAGTTTGGAGTATTTTGTACAACCAAAGTTCATAGCTTAAGGTTTCGAGATCTATACCTAAGTACAGTCCTTAACTTTAGTTTGTCAAGTTTGGCTCGAGTTTGGTTAATTGGGGTTCTTTAATTAGGCATAATTAAGTGTAAGTGGGTCTTATTCGCAAATATAACTAAAAGCAAGATTAGCGCAGTCTCATCTTAAGACTTTACTCCGTAATTCATTGCCACATCAGCTTTTTAGATTAAATTTTTTTTTTCTAATTTATAATTATGTAAGACTCCTTAAGACTCGATAAAACTTATCTCTTCAATCGCTCAGACTCATTTTTTTACATATAAATTATATTATTAAAGTTTGGGAAATTCTCATTGATAGCCTCGTACTTTTGCTTATTTCCACTGATAGCCACTTTTTATATGAATTATCTTTGGTAGCCTCAAACTTTTTAAATTTTACTTCTGTAGCCATATTTACTATAAAACGTTAATTAGAACGTTAATTTTAATTGGAGTCAAATACTTAACCCATGCATTTATGATCTCTCACTAACTCCACCCACTTGTAACCGAGTCAGTCATAAAACACCAAACCCTTCTCTTTTTTTAGAACAACAAACCCTTTCTCATTTCTTCATCTCATTCTAACATTGCTGGGTATAATTTTGCTTGAGGAAGTCACAATTACAGTAGATAGCACGAAGGAATCATCAATTGCGAACGAAAGATCGATTTAAGGGTAGCTTCATTCCAGGTATGTGTTAGAGAAATTCACAATTACAGTCGATGCTCTGTTATTGTGTGATTGCGTGTAAGTGAGTAATTTGGGTGAAAGTTAGGTTTTTGTTAGTAAAATATGCAAATTAATGGTTTATTTTTGTAAATTTGTGGTTTAATGTCGATAATTATGTAGATTCAAGATTTATTTTTGTTAATTTTGTGGGTTTTTTTTGTTAAATGGGTTAATTATGCAATTTTGCATGTATGTGTTAGGCCTCAAAGTTAGGCGTTGAATTTCATATGCTGGCGAATTTCGTATGTTATTGTTTCATGTTACCTCAAAGTTAGGCATAAATAATGGGTTAGGCCTCAAAGTTTTGCATGTATGCTATTGAATTTTGTATTATTATTGCTTGATGTGGGTAAGTGGTTAGGACTTGTGTTGATTGTTCTGAAATTGGTTGATGTGGGTACGAGCTTACTATGGACATATGAAAGGGTTTCAAATGATTATTCTGAAATTTACCTCTATGTTTTTTTTCTGAAATTGTACCTTTTCTTTGTCTATAATAATGCAGAATGAATTACCAGTGGTGCTTAAATTTCAATATAATCGTAGTGATATTGAATGTTGTGGTAGATGATGTTGATAAGGTGAACTTGATTGACTTAATAATTGAGTATTGGGAATTAGCTAGGCAAAATGACACACCCACACCCAGAAATCCTAGGTTTGAATATTGCTATAAGATGATGATGTATGAACTTAGGTTAGATGGTCAGTTAATGGAGATGTTTGAAAGGCTGGTTGGTAAGTATGTGATTCATATTTGGGTTGAGGAGGGTGAGGGTAAAAACAGATGTAGTACAGGCGGCTTATGAGTTGATGGTTGGGAGGATAAATAAACAACTTAAGGAGCAGTGGAAGGAGGAAGCACTTAAAGCTTTAAATGAACCTGAACCCATTAAAAAACAAGTCACACCAGTCAATGTTGAACCATCTACCACTTATATTCTTGATGCACAAGCTGAATGATAATGGACCTAAAAAATTGGTTCTAGGAGAAGGGTTGAAGAGGTAGATGAGAGAATGGAGATAGGTAATGAAATTCATCATATGGTACTCTCTCCAAGTAGACAGGTTGCAGAAGATGTGCTACATAATCAGCTGAAAGAGGGAGAGGGAGAGGGAGAGGGAGAGGCAGAGGGAGAGGAGGGAGAGGCAGAGGGAGAGGAGGGAGAGGCAGAGGGAGGTTTAGCAGAAGCTATGGGAGGGAGAGGAGGGTCAGGAGAAGGGAGGGGAGTGAGAGGAGGGAGAGGCAAAGGGAGAGGTAAGCAAACTGGTTACACCTTTGAGCAATGGTTGAGTAGTTCAAATCCTAGACTAGACATTGTAACTGAACCACCCCAAAATGACCAATCTCAGCATGTTGTTGAACCAATAGTGGTCCTAAGGAGGAGTCCTAGGAAACAATCACAAAAGCAACCTACCCTAGAAAATTCAAACCATTCAAACTCCAGTCAACCCAACCCCACAAATTCCAACTCCAATCAACCCAACCCTAGAAATTTCTGATCATGGAAAGACTTCTGATCAAGTTGGTTCATCTAGGTCTTCTAAGGTTTTTCCTACAATTAAAAGGAAGGTGCCTTTGACAACTGCTAGGAGGAAAGGTCTGCAAGTTTCTGTTAGTGAGGGAAGTAATAGTTTGAGTCAAGGGGTTAAGAGCAGAAGGACAGATGCACTCACTGTTAATTTAGGTGATGATGATCAGAATTTAGTGAGTGATGATGATGATGAGGAAGACAATTATGAACCTGTTGGGGGTGATGAAATGAGGACAGTGAGGATGAGAGCCTTGATGAAGAAGACCAAGAAGAGGAAGTTAGTGGGGCTATTATTCATGATAATTTTGATCCTTTTGAGGCTGAGGTTATTTGATGATGGCGATGATGATGATAATTACTTCATGAGGTTGTACAGAAATGGAGAGTTATACAAAGATGAGGAATTTGGGGAAATTATTCTTAAGTCTTGGCAATTGTTTACTGACAAGCAGCATTTGAGGGATGTGGTAAGGGATTATTGCATCCAATGTGGTTTTTCTGTGGTAGTTGATAGGGCAACAAACTTGAGGTACACTGTACTTTGCTCTGCTGAAGGATGTGAATGGAGGTTGCATGCATCCAAGCTACCTGATGGGATTACATGGGCTTAAGTCCATAAAAAATCCCGAGCATACTTGCAGTGGGTTGGATGTAAATAACCCTATGGTTAGTGCTTCATGGGCATCAAGAGTCTTGATTGAAGACATCCGGGCTAATAATGATATTTCTGCCAAATCTTTAAATGCCATTCTATTTCAAAGATTTGGTGTTCAGATGGCTATAAGCACACTATACAGGGTTAAGCATAAGGCATTGGCTGAAATTCATGGTTCTCATGATGAGTCTTATGCTTTTTTTACCCAAGTATTGTGAGATGATCAAGTCAACCAATCCTGGGTCATTTGTATTTTGTGCTTGGGTTCAGTTACAGGAGCATGAAAAACCATTGGTTTTTAAGAGCATTTTCATTAGTTTTAAAGGAGTTCTCGATGGTTTAAAGGCCTGTAGAAGCTTGATAGGGGTAGATGGTGCACACCTTAAGGGAAATTATGGGGGTGTGTTGTTGTCTGCAGTAGCTTTAGATGCCAACAATGAGTTGTACCCTTTTGCATGGGCGATTGTATCTGGAGAAGATACCGACAATTGGTGCTTCTTTGTGTGGAATCTGAAGAACATGTTGAAGGATCTTGGAAGAGGGAACAGCTGGTGCATAATCTCAGATCGACAGAAGGTCAGCCCCATAATTCATTATATACTTTTGGCTTTTGTTACAATTCATTCATGTACTAACCATTGTGGTATCTGATTATGCAGGGGATTAATTTGGCATTAACTGAGTTATGGAATGAAGCTGACAAAAGGTACTGTTGTAAGCACCTTGTGGCAAACTGGAAGAAAGCATTCCCAGGGCCATTATTGTTTTCTCTTTTCTGGAAATCATGTGGTGCATTCTCACCATTTACCTTCAAGAAAGCCATGGAACAACTTGACAAAGTTAATCAAGCTGGGAGAAAATGGCTATCAAACTTAGGAGATCAGACAAGGTGGACTAAACACAAGTTTAACACTGAGCTAAAGTGTGATGTCAACAAAACAAATTTTGTTGAAAGTTTTAATGCGACTCTGGGACTGGACAGATGTAGGCCCGTGTTGACCTTACTTGAAGGTATAACATGCCACTTTCATTAACTTTGTCGCTTTTCAGTTTATGCACACATCCATGAAATGATAGTATGTGTAAATTTGTTTGTAGGGATTAGAAGAAACACTATGGTTAGGATCGCTTCAAGAAGACAACAATGTGAAACTTGGGAGAGGTAAGACATCTGTCCTAACATTGCAAGAAGAATCCAGAAGCTTAGTCATGCAAGTAGGGACTGCATCCCATACATGGCAGGGGAAGGAGAGTATGAAATCCTAACTGGCAAGTCTGTTCTCCCAGTTAGCTTAAACAAACAACACTTGCTTGTGTGGAGCTTGGCAGCTAACTGGTATACCATGTAAACATGGTATTAGAGCAATAATTCATGCAAGGTTGGATCCACACTCATTTGTGCATGAGTGGTATTCTGTGAGCAAATACAAGGAAGCTTACAGCTCTGGTATCAAGTCTATCCCAGACGTTGAGCATTGGCCAGAGATTAATATGCCAGAGATCAAAAGCCACCAATTGTGAAAAGGGCAATAGGGAGACCTTGCAGAAATAGGAAGAGAGCTGATGATGAAGAAAGGAAGGGTAAAAGGCTAAGACCGTAAAATGCAGTAAGTGTCAGGCATATGGACACAATACTTTGACCTGCAAAGGAGGTCTGACATCAAAACAAAAGGCAACCACTAGTCAGAAGGGAAAGAAGAAACAACCTGCATCCCAACAGTTCAATGCATCCTCCTCCCAGCCAGTAAAAGGAAAGAAGAAAACAACCTGCATCCTAGCCTTGAATCTGGAGAAGATGTTTTGATTATTAAGCTGAAGTAGATTTTTTTTTTTAACTTAAACAATGAAGTGTTAACATGTTCAAGCCTTGTCATTTGAAGACATAGTATTTAGTTAAGTGTGGGTGAATATGATCTTGACTTTTGGAAATTATATTCATGAAATTTATGTTAACAGTTATGGCAGGGTATTAATTTTGGTACTACTCATTTGAATATTTTTTTTCCACATTATCCTTGAAACATACATAATTTTCTACTCAATTGGAAAATGATTAACAAAAGGTTTTCATTTTATTCATATTTTAAAGCAGCATACAACCTAGTTCGCTTCTCTATTTCACTACAATACATTAGTTCATCAGCACAATAAATAAGGAAGTACATAAAAAGTCATTACAACAACACACTTCACACATATCTTCAACCCTTCATTCATGGCAGCACAAACAACAGAGCAAATCCCTTCCCTCCAAATTACAACATCTGAAGATTCCACCCATGAAAAAAATCCACACAGGTTGCACTTGTAGTATGGTCTTTCGGGGTTGCTCCTTGTGTCAGAGATCCTAACATCAGCATTCTTCATTGGATAACAGCTGCATCTTCTCATTTTTACCCACTCTTCAGCCATAACCATAAAAGGGGGAAGGAAAAGAAAAGATGAGAGGAGGGAGGCATAAAGATTGAAGGTATGGGGTGTTTATTTATGGTGGGAGGTCTGGTTGCATTTTGGTGGGAAACTTTGGAGCCAAAAATAAGTAAAATATAACCCTAGTTAGTGTATAAACCATGATTCATTAAAATTAACGTTCTAATTAACGTTTTATAGTAAATGTGGCTACAAAAGTAAAATTTAAAAAGTTTGAGGCTACCAAAGATAATCCATATGAAAAGTGGCTACCAGTGGAAATAAGCAAAAGTACAAGGCTACCAATAAGAATTTCCCTTAAAGTTTTTCAAAAATTAAAAAAAAAAAATATTAATTGAGTGCTAAATTGAGTCTTAATTTTCAAGACTCCACTTCAAATTTTATTAAGATCAAACTTCTTAAACGGTATAAAATAATAAAGTCTTGTCTTAAGACTAGAGCTGTCAAAAGTTGACCCGACCCAAAATACCGACTCAAACCCGATTATTAATTGATCCATCTAAACCCGAAAAAATGGTGACCCAAAACCGACCTGACCAGAAACCAACCCTAGACCCGAGTATGTGATACCCGAACCCGCACATCGACTGACCTGGAGATGACCCGACCCGAATGTAATATGTAAATAATTGACCTGAACCGAACCCGACTCGAACTGAAATTGACCCAGCCCCGTTTTAACCCATCAAAACCTGAATTTAACCCGACTTGAATTCAACCCGACCCGTTCCTAACCCGGCCCGAATTTAACCCAACCAGTGAACCAAAAATAAAAATTGCCGAAATGTTTACCATGGTCCCTAATACCCTCCGGGAGTCCAATTGGCTGGTGGAACCATCCAATTTGACTTTAAACAGCCAATTTACCGCTTTACAACTTGCACCGATTTCATTAATTCAAGCCTACCACAAACATTTATGACAACATATAATGATCATATATGGTTCCTAATGGCATTATATGGCCCCGAGATTTATCCCCTTAAATCTCAACGATTTTCCATACCGGCCTCAAAACCTCCAAAATTTCTCAAAAAGCGTGAATATTAGCCTTAAATTTTGGAAGTTTTTTGACTTTTTTTTCACATATAAATAAAAATTTCCGAAATGTTTACCATGATCCCTAATACGATCCGGGAGTCCAATCGGGTAGGTGGAACCATTCAATTTGCCTTTAATTGGCGAATTTATCGTTCACAACTTGCACCGATGTCATCAACTCAAGCCTACCACAAACATTTATGACAACATATAATGATCATTTATGGTTTAAACAGTATTATATGACCCCGAGATGTATTTCCTAAATTCTCAAAGCTTTTTCGACACCAAACCTAAAAAAAATTCTCAAAACGCTTGGATATTAACCTTCAATTTTGGAAATTTTTAACTTTTTTTCACCCGAAAATAAAAATTGCCGAAATGTTTACCATGGTCCCTAATACCCTCTGGTAGTCCAATTGGGTGGGTGGAACCACCAATTTGTCTCTAAACGGCCAATTACTGGTTTACAACTTGCACTGATTTCATTAACTCAAGCCTACCACGAACATTTATGACAACAAATAAAGATCATAAATGGTTCCAAACGGCATTATATGACCCCGAGACATATTCCCTAAAATCTCAAGTCTTTTCGCACCGGGTCTCGAAACCTCCAAAATTTCTCAAAAAACGTGGATATTAGCCTTCAATTTTGGAATTTTTTGGCTTTTTTTTTTGCCAGTAAATAAAAATTTCCGAAATATTTACCATGGTCCCTAATACCCTTCGGGATTCCAATTGGATGGGTGGAACCATCCAATTTGTCTTTAAACGGCGAATTTAAAGGTTTATAACTTGCACCGATTTCATTAACTCAAGCCTACCACGAACATTTCTGACAACATATAATGATCATATATGATTCCAAACAATATTATATGACCCCGAGATGTATCCCCTAGAATCTAAAGCCTTTTCGACACCGGGCCTTGAAACCTTCGAAATTTCTAAAAAAAAAGCATTAATATAGCCTTCAATTTCGGAAATTTTTTTGCTTTTTTTTCGCCCGGAAATAAAAATTGTTGAAATGTTTACCATGATTCCTAATACCCTCCGGTAGTCCAATAAGATGGGTGGAATCATCCAATTTGCATTTAAACGGACAATTTACCGATTTACAATTTGCAATGATTTTATCAACTCAAGCCTACCACAAACATTTATGACAACATATAATGGTCATTTATGGTTTGAAACGTCATTATATGACCCCGAGATATATCAAATATCATTTCTTTTCGACACTTGGGCCCCGAAACCTTCGAAATTTCTTAAGAAGCGTGGATATTAGCCTTCAATTTTGGAATATTTTGGACTTTTTTTCGCCCGGAAATAAAAATTGCTGAAATGCTTACCATGGTCCCTGATACCCTTTGGGGCCCAATTGGGTGGGGGAAACCATCCAATTTGCCTTTAAACGACCAATTTACCGGTTTACAACTTGCACCGATTTCATTAACTCAAGCCTACAACGAACATTTATGACAACAAATAATGATCACATATGGTTCCAAACGACATTTTATGACCCTGAGATGTATTCCCTAGAATTTCGAGACTTTTAGACACCGACCCCTGTAGACTCTAAAATTTCTCAAAAAGTGTGGATAATAGCCTTTAATTTTGGAATTTTTAGACTTTTTTTTCGCCCGAAATTGATAATTGCCGAAATGTTTACCATGATCCTTAATACCCTTCAGGAGTCCAATTGGGTGGGTGGAACCATCCGATTTGTCTTTAAACGACCTATTTACCTGTTTATAATTTGCACCGATTTTATTAACCCAAGCCTACCACGAACATTTATGACAACAAATAATGATCATAGATGGTTCTAATCGGCATTAAATATCCCCAAGATGTATCCCCTAAAATTTCAAGACCTTTTGACACCAAGCTCCGAATCCTCCAAAATTTCTCAAAAAACGTGGAATTTTGAAATTTTTGACTTTATTTTCGCCCGCAAATAAAAATTTCCAAAATGTTTACCATGGTCCCTAATACTGTATGGGTGACCCATTGGGTGGGTGGAACCATCAAATTTGCCTTTAAACGACTAATTTATCGGTTTACAATTTGCACCGATTTCATTAACTCAAGCCTACCACGAACATTTATGACAACAAATAATGATTATATATGGTTCAAAACAGCATTATATGACCCAGAGATGTATCCCATAGAATTTCAAGATATTCGACACCGAGCCCCGAAACCTCCAAAATTTCTCAAAAAACGTGGACTTGAGTCAAAAAATTCCAGGTGGGTGGAAGCATCCGATTTGTCTTCAATTTTGGAATTTTTTGACTTTTTTCGCTCGGAAATAAAAATTGCCGAATTTTTTTTACCATGGTCCCTAATACCCTCCTGGAGTCCAATTGGGTTGATGGAACCATCCAATTTGCCTTTAAACGTCCAATTTAATTACCGCTTTACAAATTGCACGGATTTCATTAACTCAAGTCTACTACGAACATTTATGACAACATATAATGATCATATATGGTTCCAAACGACATTATTTGACCCCGAGAAGTATCCCCTAAAATATTAGTACTTTTCTACAACGGGCCCCGAAACCTCCAAAATTTCTCAAAAAGCGTGGATATTAGCCTTCAATTTTGAAATTTTTTGATTTTTTTTTTTCCTGAAAATAAAAATTGCTGAAATGTTTACCATGGTCCCTAATACCCTCCGGGAGTCCAGTTGAGTGGGTGAAACCATCCAATTTGCCTTTAAACGACCAATTTACCGGTTTACAACTTGCACCGATTTCATTAATTCAAGCCTACCACGAACATTTATGACAACAAATAATGATCA